GGGGGGGGGGGGGGGGGAGACTTGAATAAGGAGTACTATTAGACCAAAAACTCATTACCCTTTTTTTATATCATGACTAGGTTCCTTATCCACTGTGCGCATCGCTTTTCGCACAATAGTTGAAATGGAAACAGGTCTCTCTTTTGGTGAACTCGTGTTCGTCAAGAGGGTGGATCCGACAATGAGAGATGAGTTGAGAGGGTCAAAAGGGGTCTAAGGAGTGGTGATGAATTGTTTCAGAGGCTGTCCAATCGATCTCGATGGGTTGCAAGACGTTCCTGGCACACAGAAAACAGGTTAGAAGGACGCCGGAGTATTTTTTGGCGTATTCCCTCCGACGATCAAGTCAATTCTTTGAGAAAGGGGAAAAAGAAAATACTGAGAAGATATTGCATACCTTTGCAATACGTTTTTGGGGACTATTTATACCCTTCAAGGCTCATTATTACTGATGACTTAGTCAGTAAGTAATGATCAAACATGGGAGAATGTGCCTCCTATTTTGCATGAGGGATGTCCCAATATTAACTGCTCGGGCTCCCGAGTAGTTAATGCCCTTTTTTCAATGTGAAAACTTTAAATGCTAGGAGCCCAGGACATTTAATACCTCACGTCCTTAACTTTCCAAGTCATTGTTGATGTCCTATCACTGAAGATTCATTAAATGTTTGTCTGGGATAGCCGTAAATCAGCAAGGGTAATTCTGTCCTTTTACCCTCCAACATGCATTTTATGCCACACGTCCGATTCTCTCTGAATGAGTGTCCAATTCATGCTGTCATTCTGACTTTATTGTGCAGAGTGTCCTCCTGACTCTTAGTCTAATTTAGATCATTCAGCTATCAATTAATAACATCTCTAGAAGTCGAAGATGTGACAAAGGCTGACTGTGAGTACCCTCGGGACCGAGAACACTAGACACTTCCCTCTCGGAGGTATTTTCGAAACCGAGGGCATGTGTCTTAGCGTCGAGGAACATGTCAATCAGAGCAAAGGTCTTTGTGTCGAGGACACATGGCCTCATCAGAGACAGAGATGTACCTCAGTACCAAAGATACGTTTCGTCAATCTAACACTCTTCCAAAAGTGTCCCATCACCCACCAATCAAACTCACATGAACATGACTTAAAGTAGTGGTTGCCTCTTTTTTCCTTGTGAGTTGTTGCCATAGGTATTAGAATCCACCTGTAACCTAACGCTAATACTCGAGACAAAAGGTTGAAACATATTGAATCTCTTCAATGACTTTGAGCCGGGAATTTTGCACAAGTTGTGCCCTTCAAATCTATCTTAACAAGGGGTTGGAAAGAAACCATCACCACTCTTTTTCTTTTTTTAATCCTTTGTCCTTTCTTTGTTCAATTCTCTCTCCTCTTTTTTTTTTTTTTTTTTTTTTTTTAATGTTTGAAAGAAGAGTGAAAATAAGAAAGAGAGCCCAAATACTACCTCAATAGACCACTACTCTTTTGAAGAACGAACTTTAAGTTAGTAGCATATGAGTCAATCACTTAACTTTGTTATATTATTTATCATTATATTTTCTTTTCGGCCTTTCTCTTCAATAAAAAAGGTGGAGAGATGACAGGACTTAAATAGAAGGGTCCCACAAATCTTGCAATTCATGCAGCCCAATCACCTTGAAATGTGGTGCTCCTGTCATTCAACATGTACACAAGGCTGTGGGTGGATGGATTCATTTATCTCTAGGAAGTGGCTGAGTCAGAAATTCCGAAATGGGGGAGCTAACTAACCCAATTTATTGATAACTTTTGGGCCGCTAACTTGATATATTTTTGAAAAATTTCAAAAAATTAATTTGGTGATAAAAGAAATTTTGAACCGTGGGGCCGTAGGTATAGTCCCCTAGGCAACAATGTGGATCAACTACTAACAGGTGGATTAGGATCTCTTCTGTTATTAACTTTCTTTAACTACTTTCACGTTACATTAGAAACGTGTTGGTTTTGAGTATTGTTATACATGATATTAAAAAATATATTTTTTATATCAATAGAAATTAATATTAGTAATAAAAAATATTTTAATATCCTCTCATGTTTATTTGTTCAATAAGTATTATGATGGGTCTCACAAACAACCATCTATTATGTCATATTTTGTATAACAAATATACTATTTTATCTTTAACATCATCTATTTCATTGCTTTCTTTGTGTAATTCTTTTGTACAATGTTTGGTATAATACATGGAATGACAATTCATATTCAAAAAATTCTGAATAATATAAAAAATTCACATAAAAAAATAAATAACTTGATACTATGAATCGGTGATACCATAAAAAAATTCAAAAAGAAAAAATTCAAAATATTTTTTTTAAAAGAACCTGTGACACCATACTCTTAAACATAATATGAGAAAAAATTCCAAATAATTTTTTTAAAAAAAGGTGACTCCGTACACTTAAATAATAATACAAAGACAAAATTCAAGATAATTTTTTTTAAAAAAAATTTTTAAAAAAAAATCGGTGACACCATACACTTAAACATAATACAAAGAAAAAATTCAAAATAAATTTTTTATATGTGAACTCTACACAGAGAAGGGTATTTGTGTCATTTTCATTGCTTATACTGTTGATAGATTTATACCAACAAATAATACCATCTGATAGGTGATATTCATTAAAGTCATGTACAAGGGTTAAATGCCACTATTCAAACCAGGTTGATATTGTAACCCGAAAAATAATACTGTACATAAAATACCAAATAAACAAGACAATAAATGAGCCCCAAGTACTATTTCTTGCTATCCCTCCCTATTATATGACTAAAACTCTCAAACAACACATGCCCTAGAGGTATTAAAATATGACACCATCTGTTAGTAAGATATGAAAACGGTATAAAATTAAAGAGTTTAGATCTTCCTGAAGTCATCTTTCTCGTAAAGGAATGAAATTGACACAATACGATTAATAAATAAATCGAGTATGAGTAAAGTTAATGAAAAAAATAATGACATGATTCGTATATATATCGGTTATATACAATTTATACGTGATACGAACCTTGATATGACACGATTCGTTAGACATGAATTAATAAACGAATCGGATATGAGTAAAGCAATGGCGAAACTAGTAAAAAAATTTAGGGTGGACACAATAGCAGGTTTTAATTTTTTTTTAATTGACCATAGAAGTTCATAAATTCATATTTATTAAAATTATATTTAACTCTTAAAAGTTCAATAAACATAAAAAATTATAAAATGACATGCATAACATAACATGAACAAAAAAAGTAATAATTAAAATTTCTTATTAAGAATGAGACTAATTTTCACTTACAATTGACTCCAATATGTTTTTATTATTTGAAAGAGATATAAATCAATTTTATCAATAATATTTTTTTTATGTATAAAACTGTGACAACAATATTTCATTTATGATCGTATAATTATGAGGAAATTGAGGAAGATTAGTATTTGATCCCAGCACGAGCATCGCTGGTAAATGGGATTGGTTGTGTCCTTGAAATCTATGCTTTAAAAAAAGCGTTGGGCTAGCAAAATTGACCTTGTGAAATGTGTGGGTTGGGCTTGGCTTCAACTTGGGTCGGGCTGCATTACATGGTGCTCGGGTTTGAGGTCTAAAAACATTTGTCTGGCTAATTGAGAAACTCCAGTCCGGTCACTTCCCGTACTGTTTGAAACCTTATACACCATTTGACGGAAGAGAATGGAGAAGCAAGGAAAAGGGTGGAGGAAAAAAGATAGAAAGATATAAGCATTCCTTCGGTTGCTAGGCATAAAAAAGAGTTTAGGGAGGAGACAGAGAGGATATCTTGAGCCCGGCAGCCCCCACGCAGCTTGGCATATTCTTTCCTTGAAAGTAAAAGGTGGAGGGAAGGGCCTCAGCCATGTTCCCTACCTACCCTCTTGTTATTTTCATGATTCTCCGTTGCACCTATTCTCCGTAACCGTTGGTTCAAATCTATCACGGGTATAGTCACTGTACTCCAATCTCTCACTCGATTGGTGCACCTATGGTTCTTAATGCTGTTGATGCCAATAAAAAGACAAAAAAGAAGCAAATTTCTCCTCTAATTTGTAAATTTAGGCGAACAAGTAGAGTATACTAGGGTGAGAACCATGTTGAAGAAACTCAACATAATGATCCTGCAACTTCAGGGGAACTGGCCTTCAGCCTTTACTTTCACGCCAGGGTGTAACGGAAATATATGCAAGTTGGCTTTTCAAACTTTCTAGGAGACCCAATACCACACAAGTACGAGCTTAGATCACTCAACCATTGCCTCAACAATCAGAAAAAAAGCCACAAGGACAAAAAAACTCCACTTTCTAGAATTATAAGCTTATACCAGTCTAAAAATTCATATACGCAACTGAAAATAGGTATGTCCCCAACTACAGAATAACAAACTTGTGCGCTAAAGGGAGAGAATTGTGAGATTAACTGGAATTTCTTTGAATTTTATTCATGTAGTCCACGGTACAGAAGCCCATTGCTACAAAAAGAATAAAGAACCCTAGAAAGGGAAGCAGCAGGACTTAACATTAAATGAGAGGCAAAGTGGAAATACCCACTTGCCCACAAGAATAATGATCAACTGTTAAAAACAAATGTACATAGAAGTCACTAACCCAATATCTACTTTCTGCATCTACTTTCTGCATCCAGGGAGGAGGGAGGTTCTCCTGCCAGAGATGGAAAAATACCTACAATGATCACCGTGCAAATTGCCCCAGCTCTGAGGCCTGCACAAAATAGAATTATAACGTGTCCATCTAAACTTGGTTAATCCTTGCCCGCTGCTCCAAGAATCGAATGTTCAGTATTTCGTGTAGTTAGGACTCCATTAGAGAAAATGAAGTTAGCAAAGTCAGGCTCTAGAAGATGCTACTGAGGCAGGCCAACCAGATTTCTCATCAGCCTCCATTGATCTATTCAATCCAACCGGCTCTCCAACCCTAGAATTGAAGGACCTCTGACTTTAAGGCGCTTTGGCCCAATCTCTATAGGAGGTGGTTCCCTCATGGTTTTACCAAACTCATGCAGGAACCTACCATCTCTGTGATGTTCTCTATTCATTGCTTCCTCATTAGCCATTTTCTTGGCCTTAATGGAGTTGGGAATGGTGGTTCCTTGGGCAAACCTGTCCTTCAAAGCAAGGTCTGGAGTTTCTGTAGAGTGAGTTGGACCATAGTTGTGGGTTAGATTGTCAGCTGTGGAACACTCTGATGACGACGGTCGGCCACACCTTCCTTCAGGCTGAAGTTTCTTTAGTCGCTTAAGCCCCTGCACAAATTAATGTCAGCCAGATTAATATCTCACTACAAGCCACAATGCAAAAACATAGATTCAAGAAAAACTATGTATATGGAGATGAGAGAATGTAATCATTAAACTCACTAGACAATTGAAAGCATGGATTCATGAGAACAAACAAATAAAATTCCAGATCTTGTTGTAGCCAGATGAATCAAATATTGGATAGTAGTGCAGTGATGGCTCTAAGTTTTTTCCCTTTTCCCATTTCCCATTTCAATAAAAATGTTGGTGTTACTATCATGTATCAATAGTATGGTATTGACAGGAAAGTATTCTTTCAGTATGTAAAAAAAACAGAAATATGAATATTACAATAGAGTTGAAAACTTGTCCAATGGACCACATGAAACATGCCTACACAGCGATGCTGCAATCCTAAAAGCACTTCCCAAATCATAAGAACAATTCAAAATAGCTCAAAAGGGATTCCCAACAAAACAAGGTCCTTGAAATAAAAGAAGTTCAGCACTCAAGTGTGGACCAACTTTCTTGAGAAAGTAATGCCTGAAATAATGGTGCAAACCAAGCATGAACCTGGGGGAAAATTGATTTACAGGCAAGTTACCACCCACAGAAACTAGGGAACTGAACTAGGTATGAATTACTTAGAATTGCTACAAGACAACAAATCTCTTCGAAATAATAAGCAATTGAAAATGTAATGAGGAGACCATTAAAAAGTAGCCCTTGCTACGTATATGCATAAATATATGTATATGTATATATCGCATGTGTAGATAAAAGAAAAAAAACAATTCTTTCACACCATTGAGCAACCATTCATCTCCATTTTGTACCTTATGCAGTCCAAATTTCTCTATTTACAAAATACACTAGATTTTTGTTCGATACCTTTAAAAAACAGCTATGAGCAGTGACAGAGAGTTCAACAAAAGAGTAACACATTCCAAACATCAGAGTTAACTCATTCGACTCCCCAAATTAAGAACTAAAACATTTAATAGCAAACACAGTTTGATGGTTTGACAATTTTCAACACAGACTTGTGCAAGGTAAGTCTCATTAGAATCAAATTTTCATAGCGCCTATATGAATAACCAGTAAATTGTAAATCTACATCCACTCTTTAAATTGTGAATTCATAAGTTATATGTTTCCTTCCATCCGCTTTTTACTTATTTGGTTTCTAATTGAGGGCTAAGCAAATCAAACTATTCAAACTTAGGCATGAGTTTTGCCCAATTCAGGCTCATTGCATTTCTGGGGAGATAATGAGACAAACTCAATTCTGTTTTAGAGCTTGTTTGTTCTTTTTATTGACCTCTAACTCGAATGTCTAGAGCTGAAAGCCGCAAAAAGAATGGGCAAATAACATCCTTTTTCGCGTGAGATAAAAGGGGTCTGTCAGCCATGCAGATCAGCATAATTAAATACAAGCACTACAAAAACCAACAATGCAAAGAACACAAAATCATCATCTGAAACAAAAAATAATGCAGTTAAAGGACAAGAAATGCCCAAATGAACCAGTACAAAAACATGTAAACTGTTCAAAAATCTTTCTGTAACTAGGGTTTCCTTTATACACTAGATTCATCATCTTACATAAAAGGTCCATGGTTATATTAAACATGAATTGTAGAGAGCTAAAATATTTCATATTACGTAATGTGGGTGATAAATCTTTTTTTTTGTCATCTGGCAACAAGCTCCTTGTTGCTCTAGAACCAACATGTCAGATGATCTGCTAAAGTAATACCTGTTCGGGTAAACGTAGTGAATCCCACTGAAGCAACTTAGCAAGGGGTAGCTACCAGAAAAAAAAACCTTAGCAAAGGGTACAAATTGCAATATTTGTTGATAATTTGTCTTCTTAGCACGGATTTCTTCTGTTGAACCAATTAGTATCGACAAAATTGACTAAAGCATAAACCAAGCATCCCAAGCTACTCAAACTACTCCAAAAGATCAGCCTTAGATTCACAATGCAAATAAGAAATGATTGAAAGTAACCTCATGACGACCCAATTCTGTTCCCTAGATGATCACAATTCTTTCATAATTCAAGAAATTTCAATAAATAGCATAATCATCCTGCCATTAACAATGGGTTCTTAAAAGTAACATGCTGGAAAGAATAAAATAGAAAAGAGCAAACTATAGTAATGAATAATCTTATACATAAAGTACCTAAATGACATGTAGTGTACAAACACATTGTCAAAATGATAGCAGAAACTGTTAGTTAAACGAAAGAGAAGTGCAAGAACCCAGTATCTTGCAACGAAAGTAAAGCCTAGAACTTTTGTCTACCATACCTGATGTTCAAAACTTGTAGAAATGGCATCATTTGCATCTCTCTGATCCCCTTTTGCAGACGGACGACGTTTTACCCTGAAGATCTCTGAGTCAGAGTCGTCACTCTCTTGATCCACAATAGGCCTAACCTCTGAACTATGATCCTTAGCTTTATTGGCACCGGCACTTTCATCATTCGGAGAGAATAGTGAAGCTTCATAGACGTGGCAAGATACTTCTTTGGAAGACTTGGTAGATACAAGACTCTCTAAGCTAGAGTTAATATGCCCCTGCACCTCCTATAAGCAGATGTAGAAACCAAAAGTTGTACATCAGTTAGACCAATTTATTTAGGTATCGACTCATTTCCGATGAAGGAAGCAGGAAATACTGTAGTAAAAACGAAAGGCAAAACAGGATATTAAACCTGGATAACAGAGCTAAATCTTACATTGTTGGCAGTGGATGAGCTTTGAGCTGGCTCAACATAAGAAATAATTGATGCAGAAGAAGCACAAGACAGGGAAGCATCTGAAACTTCAGTTCTAAGATTTTCTGCGCCACTGCACAACATGGACTGGTTGGAAGAACCAAATTGAGTTTGTTCTAACATATCCTCAGTTTTGGCAATTTCCAGGTTTAGATCATAGTTTATCCTGCAGTAAGGAGTGTATCTATCCTCTGCAACTCTTGGGAACATGTTTAACAGCAAAAGCATGTCTCCACCACTTCTGCCATGCTGTTGAACCTCATGTAAAACATCCTCCTCCTGCTCAAACTTCTTGGCTGCAGCTTCCATATCAGATACATCATCCCTTAGGAAGAGAGTATAATGGCCTCCACAAGGTAAATCCAGGGAATCAATCTCTGCTTTGGACAATCAAGATGACCAGAACCAATAAGCAGGACTCGATATGTAAATGGCGCGGCTAAAGGAAAATTCACCAAAAAACAAAATTGAATCATATTACCATGGCGAAGGCATACAGGATGCAAGTAGCAGTCACAGTTTAGGTATGCTATATAACAGTCACGATTGCATCGACTACATAGAATAGTCCCATTGGGATTTGGAGAAACACCCAAGCATGCTCTTGATTTCATTAGACACCAACGGGCACAGTGCTGGAATCGCATCAAATTTACAAAAGAAACTTTAATGCTACGGTTAGAAATTAACTCTGCAGACGAATAATCCAGATCTTGAAGTTCCAAACTCCTATGAAGAAGCATCGCTTCCTTGCAGAGAAGTTCCTCGTGAGGAAGGAGAGGCATCCTATTAAGAAGTGCATAACGACGGCTAGCCATTGACCCTATAGGAAACCAATCACCGGCTGCAAAGTTCACAGCTTCCCCACAATTAAAACCTGAAATTTAACAAAATGAAAGATGACAAAAGCTGCATAACATCCAGCAAGTCATAATGACCCAACAGTTAAAACCTGAAATTTAACAAAATGAAAGATGAAAAGGCTGCAAATCCAGTAAGTAACAATGAACTCCATGGAAACTAGCCATTTGATAAATTATTATCAATCTAATATCGTACCATGACTAAAACCAGCATGATATGCTCTAGGAAATGTTATGATGAACTCCCCAGGATTTTGAACAGCCTTGTAGACTGAAACACCATGTTCTAGCAAAATGTTTGGAGGAAACAATGTGGTTTTCCCTAGTAGCACATCAAAAGCTCCATCCTCTCCATCAGTCGGTAGAATATCATGGGTATACACATGCTCCCGGACAACCTTTTCAAAGTCAAGGGCAGCATGACCAGGAATGCCATACCAAGTTTTCGCAGCTCCGCAATGATGATAATTTATGCTGCAATCCAAGAAGGTACTTTGGCATAAGAATGAAATGACCCTCCAGGTCCTACAGGATATAATAAATACTAGTACATACTGGAATACAAATAAAATTACAATGTACCTATACAAGTAATGATCCTCCACATGCCAAGCGAACATACTAAAGAGCATTCCAATGTAAAGCATGGGTTCAGTAACTCCCTAAACCAAATACAGTAGGTTAAAAACACTCAACAACTACGTAAATTAAACAAACCAATATAAAAATGAAATTTTTCTCTTTACCGGAATTGATGCTCTCAGAAGACGCAAAATGGATTTAGGCAGCCGAGAAAGTTTCTGAAACCGCAAAAACAAAGCATACATCAGAAGTTAATGAGACATCCTAGATGCTGAAGACATTCAAGGGCAACCACTTCTAAAGACTACAATTGGATGATATGATAGCGCAAAAAAGGTGGAAAAAAATTGTAAAGAAAAACTGGGGAAGGAGAAATGTAAATGTTGATAGGCACGAACTTAATTGAAAACACTGCAGATCATTTGAAAGCATGAGAAGGTTCCGAAACCATAAGCAAATGACAAACATCAACAATATATGTCTGGGCATGAATCTAAGTGAAAACACCACAAGATCATACGAAAGCAAGGGAAGTTTCTGAAACCATAAGCAAACGAAAAACCATCACAAATAAAAGACCTAAAAACAACACAGACACTTTATTCAACACCAAAATGAACAAATTTAAAGAATAGGCAGGCAAGAGAGCAACAGATAATAATAGAAAAAGTTAAGGACAGTAATGTAGACACTTTATTAGTGATTCATCAAACCAACAGGGAAGCACAGGACAGCATCTATTGAGAAAAGGGAAAACATCCCCATTTCACAAAGATTATTTAATCTTCATCTTAAAAACTTAAAAAAAATGCCATCGAAAGAAATATTAAAAAGCATGAGAAATCGTAACGAGATCAACACCTTCAGATTCCATTTGCTTTGTCCAAGCTCATCACTGGGAGAAGATGAAAATGCACTACCATCAACATCGCATGCATATTCTACACTTTCTGTCTTTCCACAAGCTATTTCATGCCAAAATTCTTTTTCCAAATATGTAGCAGGAAGACATCCAGCACTATAATATCTACGAGCAAAAACCTTGTTCGCCATTTTCTCGAAATCACGAAATGTATAATTTCTGAAAAACCATATTGATAGTCAAAGCCTGGACATATGTCAATTGAAAAACAATATCTCCAATTTTTTTGTACGCTCACCTTCCACTCATGAAGAAAGTAACCTTGTCATTACTATCCCATTCAGCAAGACGAAGGGGTTGTACTCTAGTTGTAAACTTAAAACCAGCTTTTTCTTTCATCAATACTACACCAGCAGGAACAGACGCATTCAAAGGGGAAACAATCTTGCATATACCTGAAAATTGAAAGGACAGAGCAGGTGGTCACAATATAATTCACAAGAAACCACAAAAACCCAAAGTAAAAAATCAAGAAACTTGATATGTAAAAATAAGCAGCTAAAAAACAATGCAGCAGGAATATTATAGGTCTATTTTATCAGCCCAACAGCAATTATAGAATCAGCAGACATACACTAAGTGACCCCAACGACCAATATAGGGTGTAAGGCATGGAGAAACCAAGGATTAAAATTTTGTTTTGGTGCATTGTTTCGGTCACCTAGGAAATGGAAAGGTTTCAAAAACAAAATGAAAACGAATAAAAAATTTGGGAATTTATATCCAAAATGTTCCAAAACATAGGTCGAAATATATTGAACCATCTTAAAACACCGCAAAACATTCCGAAACAAAAGTGTAAAATATGTTGGAACACCTCAAAGCATTCCAAAATAAGAATTTCGATCCCATCATTGTTTGTTTCAGTCTCCTTGAAAATAAAAACGTTTCTGCCATTTCGATCATTTCGAAAGAAAATTTTGATCCCTGGGAGAAACAAAAAACATGAACTACTAAAATATACGAAACATATAGCATCGTCATCCAATCAAGAATATGAGCAAAGAAAAATCAGATTTCAATCAACCTTCCAAAGACCAACTTTCGTACAAAAACTAAAAATTGCCCAATGTGCAGGCATACGTAGAAATGAAATAAAAAATTGGAAGAATAGAATTAAATTGTATTTAATTTGCAGGACTAGTACAAGTTACTGACAACAAAAATTCTCTGACACAAAAAATTGGGAATAAAGTAATTTTGGAGTGGATCGTTACTTTTATTTGGTTGTTAAAAGAGTTTTCACCACCATAATAGTGTAGAATTAAAATAACATGATAAATTTCATAAGGATCACCATCTAGAAAAGAAGGGAAGGAACAGACCTATTGGCTTGGACAACAATGGACTCTGCTCATAACTTCCACAAAATAAATCAAACATCAAAAATTCACAACTCAGTGTCCCCAGAAATTTATTTACAATATCAACCCTTACAACATAAATCAAATATATACCATCTGGTATTTAGGCCTGGCATAGTATTTTACAACACATGAATGTTCGCACACACGTTTGACAACCCAGGACCAAGATGGTTTTACAAAATTTCTTGGCAGCATAAATGATACAACAAACAGCCAAACAAATACATGCAAGCTAGTTGAGTTTGAGTTTTTTTAAAAAAAAAACTCATCTATTATTAGAACATAAATGAGCAGACTTTTTCAAGTAAGTATAAATGGGCAGAGAGACAGAGACTATATATTGCGATGCGTGCTTTATGCCCTAAATTAAGCATCATAAGGATACTTGCCATATCTTGAAGCTTCTGGAGCTATCTTTTGGAGATAGACCAAAGGATCCTCAAACTCCTTTTTAGTCGGACAGTATACAGGACATTCTGGAATTTTATCAGTCCACTCAAGATCAGTTGTGTCGAACTTTGCAACTTTGCGCTTTGAAAAAACATCCTTCCCATTTGAAGCACCACCAGATCGAGAAAGCATATCCACACTACCGTGTAATCTCGTACCACATGGTGCAGAAGCTCTTAAAGCATCTCCTCCACTTCTACTCATCGTGTTGGTGACACATGCAGTATCATCCAAAGTTTCTAAGTTCCTCCGCTGAAGCCTTCTACGCTTCAAAAATTCTAATTTAGCCTCCCTGGACATACAAACCATTCCTTCCACCTGTCAAAGAAATTAAAAAAAAAAACACACAAAACTCAGGTTAAAGGATTGGATTATAAAATTCTGATATCCTGTAAGCATGCTAGATATCAAGAATACTAAGAATAATTAGATCCAGTAATAACCTGAAGAAAGGGTGATCAACTCAATAAGTAAATGCAAATACACCTTCTTTGCTGGACCGAAGCCCAATCTCAGACAAACCTTAATTTTGCACTCAGCGGATAAGATCCTGCCTAGAGCAGGGTAATGTTATACACTGGGGGCTGGCCACCCCACAGAGTGTGAACCATCCTCATCAACTTCCAAAGGAAAACACATAGGATGCACAATTATAAGACTAATTCAACCAGTACCACCGAGCTTTTTGATTGGCTCAAAAGTCCCAAAACTCAACATAATTGCAACACATGTCAAATGCACTTGAATTTCCAGGAATTAAATGCCTTACATCACATGACAACAAGAGACACTGGCACTCAGCAGGAATGCTACCCACCACTTCAACAACGGTTGAGTTACCACAGGCAACTCAGATCATACCTCTCCACTCTGGAGATACTAAAGGCTGGGCATTGGTGCATAGACAATAGAACATTAGATGGCATATTTTCCACTGGATGATGCAATTATTTTAGAAAAAAAAATTACACCAAACAAACAATAGTACTCATTGAATGAAACATATGTAGAAACAAAACCGTCTTCCAAATTCTGCTAAAAAAAGTAGAACCATTTACAGTATATGACATCTTTTATCAATGTAAAATTCAATTTTTTTTAAAAAAGATACGATTTAAAGAAGTTTGGTTGCAGATATACTGATCCAGTAACTCACCATTTGTTTGTTTGTATGTAGATACATACTTGTTACACTGCAATTGCAAACATTCTACATATGTGGATCTGAAGCTCAGATCATTATAGACTCAAATTACTGTGACTTAAACTATAAATCCTCTACAGTACATTATTCCAGGGTTGCATTCAAAATTGAACTCTATATCTTCAATTAAAAAAAAAAAAAGTGAACGGTATTATCAGCAAAATAGTTCGCCAACATTCAAATAAATACGAGTACAGAAAAAATAAATAAATAAAAGTAAATTGCAAGACCCATCCCGAAATAAGCCAATCTACACATAAACAAATTATCTGAACAAACTAAAAACTAAAAATTATAGAGTCAGAAAGAACAGATAACAGTGCAACTGCTCTCGAATTCAAAGGTATATATGTATATTAGTCTATGAGAATATCATGAATACTTTCCCAAAAGAAAAGAAAATATCTTAAATAGCTCAAATATATCTACAATTTCGTCGAAGTGTGACCTCCTTTGATCTCTAAAATTATTTTTATCACCAATAAAAAAAATATCACAAAGGCAAATAATAATAAGAAACATAAATATGCATATATGAAACAGATGGATATATTATGTACATCGATATAGAAAATATACATACATTCAAAAATATAACGACAAAAACTTGGTGTTTTTCACAGCAATCATTCCCGGGGGCAAAATTTAAAGAATGTTCGAGATTAGAAACACTAAGGGAAGAGGAAGGGGGGGAGAGGAAGAAGGAACACGAATCGAACAGAAAAATAAAATAAAACAAAACGAGTCACATACCATTTCATTCCGATGTTCTTCTCGGTAGGCCTCCGTCTTCCCTCACTTCACCGGAACCGCTATCTAAAACACCAAATCACCACGAACCAAAACTGGAAACAACACAAACCAAGCCCAAGATCACGATCTAAGGCAAAAACAACCACTAAAACGCCTTCAAAATCACCACATTCTCTGAAGCAAAGTCCAACGCGGAGATCAGAACAATTCCACCAAAGGACTCACCAAACNTGCTAAAAAAAGTAGAACCATTTACAGTATATGACATCTTTTATCAATGTAAAATTCAATTTTTTTTAAAAAAGATACGATTTAAAGAAGTTTGGTTGCAGATATACTGATCCAGTAACTCACCATTTGTTTGTTTGTATGTAGATACATACTTGTTACACTGCAATTGCAAACATTCTACATATGTGGATCTGAAGCTCAGATCATTATAGACTCAAATTACTGTGACTTAAACTATAAATCCTCTACAGTACATTATTCCAGGGTTGCATTCAAAATTGAACTCTATATCTTCAATTAAAAAAAAAAAAAGTGAACGGTATTATCAGCAAAATAGTTCGCCAACATTCAAATAAATACGAGTACAGAAAAAATAAATAAATAAAAGTAAATTGCAAGACCCATCCCGAAATAAGCCAATCTACACATAAACAAATTATCTGAACAAACTAAAAACTAAAAATTATAGAGTCAGAAAGAACAGATAACAGTGCAACTGCTCTCGAATTCAAAGGTATATATGTATATTAGTCTATGAGAATATCATGAATACTTTCCCAAAAGAAAAGAAAATATCTTAAATAGCTCAAATATATCTACAATTTCGTCGAAGTGTGACCTCCTTTGATCTCTAAAATTATTTTTATCACCAATAAAAAAAATATCACAAAGGCAAATAATAATAAGAAACATAAATATGCATATATGAAACAGATGGATATATTATGTACATCGATATAGAAAATATACATACATTCAAAAATATAACGACAAAAACTTGGTGTTTTTCACAGCAATCATTCCCGGGGGCAAAATTTAAAGAATGTTCGAGATTAGAAACACTAAGGGAAGAGGAAGGGGGGGAGAGGAAGAAGGAACACGAATCGAACAGAAAAATAAAATAAAACAAAACGAGTCACATACCATTTCATTCCGATGTTCTTCTCGGTAGGCCTCCGTCTTCCCTCACTTCACCGGAACCGCTATCTAAAACACCAAATCACCACGAACCAAAACTGGAAACAACACAAACCAAGCCCAAGATCACGATCTAAGGCAAAAACAACCACTAAAACGCCTTCAAAATCACCACATTCTCTGAAGCAAAGTCCAACGCGGAGATCAGAACAATTCCACCAAAGGACTCACCAAACTCCACGCGGAATCAAAACCGAAAACGAAATCAATGAAACTGAGACACTGCGTGCGAAAACTTCCCCGAGGCTGTTCGCCGGAGAACGAGCGGTTTCAGATAACAAAAGAGGTTTTCCGGTGATCTACAGTGATATATAAATACAGAGAGAGAAACTGAGAGGAGAGAGAGAAAGGAACAGTAGGTTATTCCCAAGTACGCTTTTAGAAAACCGAAAAAGAAGAGAGAGATTATAATTTATAGTTTGATGCATACACTCACTCACACCAATATTATTGATTATTTCTGTTAATTGTTAATTAGTGCAAATAACTTTTTTATATTAATTAATTTAATTGATTACTGGTGAAAGCAAGGAAGTGGTGAGGGAAAGTGGTGGTTGTTGGGTTGGTTCAACCAAACGCCTGCCGGCCCAAAACGTGGCGTTTGGAATTTTCACCAAATACCCATAATACCCCCACAAAATGCCCTATTTACAGTTATAAATTGATGAGAATTTCCATATTAGATCTGAGCTTTGTGAGGGTATTTTGGTAAAATGAGGTGAGACGGTGTTACCGAAGCGTTCCGTTACCGTTTTGGTCAGAGACGTGAAAGATGCAAGAAAGGCGCCAATGTTTTGATCACGTGCGCTAATGATCAACTGGCATTTGTGAACTATGGTCAATCTAGCCGTTCATCAGTTTATCCTTTTCTAGTGAACGGTCAGATTTCGATATTCTTTCTTCTATCTGAACATCGAAGCGTATACACACTAATGTTGGCAAGGTTGACACGCACCGTCTCATTTGACCCAACCTTCCGTCAGTTACACTCACTTTATTAAAAGACAATTCTCACCCCGTTAAAAGGCTTTTCCACCGTTAGTTCAGGGCCATATTTGACTTTTCATCAACCCAATCCGAACTGTAGCACCGAAATTCGTTTCCGTAATGTGGGCAAACTTTATTACAAAAACGAAAAGGGGCAAACGAGGGGCTAAGCCTCGACACGTGGACCAATAGGACTTAATAAACTACACGTGGCACGAGAATAAGGATAACATCCTTGTGGGTGTGTGCTTTGTGCGTGCTACCACCGGTGGAAGTTAGGAGGGAAACTGACAGAACGGAAATAGCTGGCAGTTACAGCAGTGTTCACGTTCCCCTGAGACCGGCCCAGCTTTCAGATATAATTTTCTCTCTCTATACGTATAGGTTGTATGTATATAAAGAATGTTACATAATTTAAATAAAATTTAAAAATTAAAACTGAAATATAAATCATCTAATAAGTTCGTCTGAGATAAGTGAGAATTCTACTGAATTAAATTGACGAGACTCACCTATTTAAGAAATAATATATATTTAAATTATAATTTTTTAAAATTTATTTTTAATGCATGGTCATCTATATATTCTGTCCGTATATCTGTTTGTTTGCAGTTGGACATCTATACATAGGTCTTGATGGCTATTGGTTGGGACTTGGGGGCTTTTGGGGCCTTTTACTTTGTTACGCGGAGGTTGGTCTAATGATTAGTTTTACACAGTCAGCGAAAACGAAGCTTTGAAGGGATATTAAAGGAAAAGTTTTTGGCGGCTCGGCTTTGTACGTGTTTTTTTTTACAATTAAGTCAACAATTTCCACCCGATTACTCACCGGCTATGCTTGCCCAGCGGCTTCACTCGGCTCGGCTTTTTCTTTTCACCAGTAGTTCTTCTCTTTCTCTTTCTCTTTTTCTTTCTTTTTTTCTTTTTCTTTTTTTCCAGTCCACTAATTTATAAATTCTTTTTTTTTTTTAAAACGGGCAACATGAGAATTTCTTAGAAATCATCTATCTTAGTATTACTCTTATCCAAACATGTTTATACGCAGAGTTCTAATGAAATTCAGTATATTAGTGTTGGTATGATTGCACCATCACTAAGTTTCTTTAGTATAGTTTAGTTCAATTAATTCTAAATATTTATATCAATTTCCAAAATTTTCATTTTTTTGAGTTTTTTAAGTATGAATACATTTTTCTATACTTATTTGAGAGAAAATATATAAATAAATCATTTGCTCTATTAAGTTTAATTTTAATATAATATCTTGTGATTAGGCATAAAATTCAAATGATCTTTTATTTATTGTATTTACTTACTCTTCCTTAAATTATATATAATTCTTATTATTTCATACTCTCTCTCTCCCCCTCCCTATTTTTTACATCGTTACTCTCTCACCCCTATTTTCTTTCTATCTCTCTCCTATTTTTTTTCTCTCTCATTGATAATTTATTTTATTTTCAAATATATAAAGATTTAATTTAATTTTTTCATCTTTTTCTCCCTATTATATTTCATCATTACTCTCTCCTTATTATCTCTCTCTTTTATATTAATATTATAACAAAACAATTACAACAATCAGTTACAATTGTCCTATAATTCACCAAACAGTTACTCATGTTTTATGATAAAATCAAACAGTTATTTTAAACAATTACACAAAATTATAATATCGACCTAATTTATCATTCAATTGTTTACGTAAACTAAAGAGTTTCACCGTTTAATATCACGACATGTGTAGGATCGGATTCGCTATCCCATCCGACAAAAATGCAATATCTTTGATCCTAATGTAATAAGTGAAACCACAAAAAGATTGGATTGTTATTACAAGTCATAATAATTAATCATCAATGATGTTGTTTAGGCTTCTATAGGTTACTTAAAAGTAATACACACTCTAGACATACCTCTGGACAGGATAGTGTTATGACTCCGTCCGTTGCATAAGTGGATGTAAAATGTAAAACCACCAAAATGGATTATTTTCTTGGATAAAAAAGAAGTATATTATTATTAAAAAAAATATTATTTTTGAATATGACATCATTTTTTTAATATTATAACCTTATTCTTATTTACTAATTTTTTTTTTTTATAAAAAAAATGACATCACTGAATTTTGGAAATTGACTAATTCTAAAGAAACAACAGAAGTGTACCAGCAAAGCGTGTCCCCAATAGAAGTTTCATGTGACATTTAATGAAACTGTGATATTCTAAGGGGCCTAATAGCTGGGTTAGAAATTATTGAACCAACTTGGTAGACTTCGTGAGGTTACAGTCCAACTAGTCATTGGAAAAAGGAAAAGCATTGATATCCAAATTTAATGGGAAAGTATCAAGTAATTACCTTGGGTTTTAAATTTTTAGCGGTGATTGAATGATTAAGTTTGTCTTCTTATGAATAGCTATGATTTTAGGTTTGCTATTTTTCATATTTTTTAAGAATTAGTCACCCTTGTATCTCAGGGAACATGTCCTCAAACTAACTCGAGTTATGATAGTCGGCTTAGAGTTCGAGTAAATAATCGGTATAAACCTGGCCAGCCTGTAAAAAAAAAAATCTTGGATTTTAAGTTTGAATATCGTAAAGGACATTGAAAGTACTTAGTGTGTATGGTTTGTATGTGATCATATTCATCCCATAATTTAACTTATAGCTATGAGTTTAAAATGCGGGTAATTCTTTAAAATTATTTAGTGTGCGCAATTTATATGTGATCATACACATCCCATAATTCAACTTATAGCCACGAGTTTAAAATATGGATAAATATTATTATTAGTCCTTAAATTTTATCTCTCGTATTTTAATGGTATATGAATTTTTAATTGTCTCAATTTAATCTTTTAATTGTCAATTTTGTGTCAATAAACATCCTCCGTCCATTTCATCTATTAGAAGATAAGGCCAAGTGTTTATCATGTGTTTGTATTTGTTCTAACGATCGAAAATGATAAGACTTAATTAATACAAAATTGATAACTAAGGAACTAAATCAAGACAATAGAGGAAGTTTAAGGATTAATTATAATATTTATGCTTAAAAATATTATAATTCTTGGTTATTAAAAAAAATTGTAATGTCGATATTTAAAATTCACAATTGGTAATTTTCCATGTATAGGGAGTTGTCTATGTACCAAAATTTTTTTTTTTGATACTATTTCTCTATTTATGGATTATTTTATCATTGTTGTATGTATTTTTATCACTGTTGTAATATCGAAATAAGTGATAAAAACACCCATAAATGTGATAAATTATCCACAAAAGTGATAATTTTTTTGTACAAAAGAAAAATAGTTATTACAACAGTGATAAAAATACCCACAAAATTAATAAATTTTTTAGTTGTAAAATGACCCACAAAATTTGTAAAAACACTAATTAAAAAAATAAATTTTAGAGGTATGATTCCAATTTTTTTTTTTTGGGGTCAATACCATAGCCAAGTCAGCTAGATGTAATTGCAAGTTAGCAAACAATAATTCCAAGAAACATCATCGGCTAAATTATCCATATGGGTCTCAGCTTTTGAAGCTGACCAAGTACAAATTTCATATGAACATACACAATTAGAGCAAAATAGGACCACCAAATGATTTGGAGTATTAAAGTCATTACTATTACTAGAAATTAAAAGGTCAAATGGAAGTTGTCACGTATGAATATGCTTAGTAGTTAGTACCTCATGCTCCTAGTATAAGGTGGCAATTAATTAATATGGTTATAGTTTATTTAGTAGAGTTTTCTTAGTTGAAACATTATAAGACTCATAAAGATAGTCAATATATATATATATATTTTTTTTTTTTTTCTTAGAAGAAGAGAATAAATTGAAAATAATTGTAAGTTGTAGCACCAAAAAATAAGAATCGCATCATAAACATCCTTAAGGGTCAAGAATAGAAAAAGTGCACACAATAGACCGTCTTTGTCTATGTCAAGTCATGTTAAAATTTATTTCATTCATAAATGTTTTATTTATATTTTTGTATAACAAGGTCGATATCATATCAAACTTGTGAGTGGCAGAGTTTTTGTGATGCATAATTTGGCTTAGATTGACTAACTTTTGGAAAGTTTGATGACTCAATTCATTGTTAAATCGAACACAATAAGATTAAACTCACACATAAGGATTTCGGTTGATTTTGTGTTAATGTGACAAACGTTATAAAAACATACCCTTCTAATAATAAACACTAACATGCCAAAAAAAAAAAAGAAGACAACATAGATGAAAAAAAAAATACGTGCAAATTAAATGAAAACATATGCCCCAAGTTAATAACATGCAATTTCTTTGTTAGTCAATACAATATTCAACGATTGTTCACATTCTTGTTATAAATTTATAATATAAAATATGACAGATCACATTCTTGT